GGGAAAGCAACAAGCAGGAAGAGAGCTCCACAAGCTATAAGTATTAGAGAAGAAACTGTTTGTATAGAACTTATGGTTTCATCAAGCCATTTTGACTTTAAAATAATGAGACCTAGCTGCTTGTCTTAAATTCATAAATTGGAGGTACCAAAGAGGAAAGCTCAATCAAAAAAATATTTATAGAAAAGGCCAAGTAAAGCTACATTACAGCAGTGGAAAAGTAACTGAAGCCAAGATGCTATGACAGGAACAATAACAGATTTTTGGATTTTATCAAGAATCTCTAAATAAATTAGTAGGTGATTTTGGTGGCACAGTACTTGCGAGTTCAAGCCCTGGGCCAAATAGTATGGATTTAGATTGAGTAAAATAATAAAATAACTAAGCAGTATTAAAAAAAAAAATGAATGGGCAGTCTAATGAGAAAAATATCAACCCCATGAATTAAAATATAGGACTGAGTTTGAAATTCCCTGATAGTTACCCAGATTGGCAGACATCTGGAGAAGGCTGGAGAGCACAAAAGCCAAAATGTGATAATGATAAGAAAGATGAAGATGTTAGACGACTGGCTGTGAATAGATTTAAATAACAAACACATTGATAGACAGATACTTGGGGAAAGAAGAAAATTATCAAAAGAGGGACATTTGGCAAATGCCCAACTATGCTAGATTCTGCCCTTCTGCAAGAATTACCGAAAGCGACTTCAAAGACAATAGCAACTAATTACAATATAGAATCATCAGATAAAGCTTATTTTCCAAACTTCCTGGTCACACATTGCTTGGCATGGCGATAGATTCTCTTCTGCTGCTAAGCTGTACCTCCTTTATGCATGCAATGAAATGATTCAGAAAAATTTACAACCTTTCGGTTTTTTTTTGTTTTTATTCACATGAAGGCAAGCACATTTAACAAAGCAATTCTGAACAATATTTGCAATGCCCAGCATACAAGAATATTGGCAGATAGGTCTCGTCATTTTTACTGTTGAAATAGCGAGATATAACTAAGTTCTATTCTAATAGTTCCTCTTCTCGCACTTCTTGCCAGTGAAACTATCTGATGGTTTATTTCTTCCCTGCTAACTACGACCTTCAAAAATTTAAATATATCATCTGTTGCAGTCTTCTGTCTCCCTGAATCCTCTTCTTCCTTTATTGTTCTTTCTCCTCATTAAAGACTTTTCATTCTCTTTCACTCCCATTAACCCTTGCATCTTAGTGGCATTGTTGCCTTTTTTGTGGTAAAATAATTAAAAAAAAAACAAAAAAAACTGGTCTAGTGCTTCTGTTAAAGTCTAACTGTAATTAATTGATAATCTCATTCCCGTATTTCCAGATAGATATTAATACGCCTTTTTCTACCCAATCAGCATATCTCCATGTAGATCGTCATCACTAACACTTCTCAAAAACACAGATTTTACTCCAAGTTACTACTCACAGATCCATTAATAGTTTCTACTTCTTATATATGTCTCTCTTTCAGTATTCCTTAATTTCTTCCGAACTCATAAATGGTAATGTTTAGCACTGACATAATATTTACCCACCAGATCCTTAATGATTACACTGGGTTCAAAACCTTAATATCAAGAACTGCAACAGTCCATCCATTTCTTCAAGACAGTATTTAGTTTAGAATTGTTATTCTCTTCAACAGGTTATGCCTGCAAAGGCTAAAACTCTGTTTCCCCTACTATTTCACTCATAGCTGGAGGGACAAGAGATGGATTTATCCCTTTTCCAAGGATATTAGTTTGAAGTGAATACAAACAACCTTGGATGAAATTTAATTCCATATTAGTTATTCAATTTTCCATGCCAATTATAATTACGTCACTTTAAAAAAATGATTTCACACACACACACATATATATATATATATATATATATATATATATATATGTGTGTGTATATATATGTAATGTTAATAGTCATATGAATCAGACCAGGAAGCAGTAGTATTAAAAAGCGATCAATACACATGCAAAAAAAAATAATATAAAAGTAAAAATAACATATAAAGCTTTAAACCTTAAAAATCAGGAGATCAGTGAATCTGCATGTATTTTGCATGGCACATAACTGACAGACCTGTCTACCCAACGTAAAAATTCAAAACTGATTATGTTGGCCATAAAACAATTCTTTCAATCTGGCAGGAAGCTCCACTGCTGAATGAAAGAATCATAATACAATTTTTAAATTCAGTCCATTTATAGCAAAATGAAAGTTAAAATATTTATCAATGAAAAATTTGTTATTGTCATAATTCACAGGTTGTGTAGATTAATGTTTTAGTGTCATCATATTGAGTATGAACAGTACTTGTGTTTACAATAACTGCATAGGGATGGAGATATATATATATATATATATATATATATATATATATATATATATATATAATGGAAGCACTTACAAAAAGTAAAAAGCAACACCCAATAACATATGAAAACAGCCACAATGTGCTGACCATATTCAGAAAATAAAATTAAAAAACAGATACAAACAGAAAAATGTACACATTCAGTTAAGAAAAATATCCTTGATAATGGCTAAGAGAATAGCAAAATCTGCTCAGATATATAGAACTTTCATACAATTTTTACAAATTTTATGTGCAGAAATGAAATCACTTATACAAACACAAGAAAAATTGAATAAAAGGCTTAATCACAGTAGCTTGTCAGTCATCTTTAATGAAACTTGTGTAAAAGAGGGATTGCCCAATACACACACACACACACACATATATATATATATATATATATATATATATATATAGTCTCTTAGTACTATTTGTTTTGCATAAGTTTCCAATGAAAAAAATACAAAGAAATGTCAAAACATTTATAGAGAGAGTGTTTTGTGAAATTGCCTTATTCTTTTGTATGGGCATTAGAGAAATTATAGACTTAAAAGTTGTTTACTTCATCTTTTAGTTGTCTGTTTCTTCTTCTTCTATATGCCATGTCCTTTCAGGAGGTGAGAGGTCATGGCCCTTCACTATTTCTTGTCCTTGGTAGTCTTTAGTAAAGTTTGTCTTTTCTCTGTTACTCCTAATCCTTGTTCTGCCAACCATTTACACAAACTCATCAGGTACGGTATGCACTGCCTTCCTCTGTCCCTCTTGCCTTCAGTATGTCCTGTGAGTGTCAAGTTTTCTAAGCATTCTTTCCTCATTATGCACCCTAGAAATTTCAACTCCCTTGTTTGGGTTTTAAATATAAATGTCCTTTTTCTTTCCATTTTCTGTAAATCTTCATCATTATTCACATGTTCAGTCTATGGCATTCTCATCATTCTTCTGTAGAACTATATTTCTTTTGTTTTAAGTCTTTTCTTCTTCTGTGAAACAATTGTTCAGCATTCACTGCCACATGAGAGAACTGATATTACATAACAGTTAAGTATGCTTTCCTTCTTTTTGTTTCTGATGAAATTTTCCTGTTCCTTAATACTTTGCTAAGCTTTTGTAAGGCAACTTTTGCTATCCCATTATGATTTTGGTGTTGCATTTTCTGTCGTCTGTTGAAATACGTCTTAGATATTTATATTTTTGTGGTTTGATTTTGGTGTCTCCAATTCATATTTTGCATCTTGGGATTTTCCATTTCCTGACAATCATATATTCTGTCATCTTAGAATTGACACTTAGTCCTTTCTTCTCACTTTCTTTTACTACTTTCTGTAAGACTACTTGAAGTTTCTATAGTTTTAAAATCTCCAATTCACAAACAGTATAAACAACAACTTAGGATATTGAATATAACAATTTCAAACTGAAATAACATCAAGTAGTGATATTGGATCAATACACCCTTCATCGTGCAAGCAGCTCACCATTCCACCACAAAGAATTCTTTAATAAAGTCAAGAAATGAAGCAAATTTGTTATCTTTTATCAAGCTAACATTTTTCTTAATGTGGCACCACAGTAGGGGTAATACAGTCTTTCATGTTTTTCACCCATCTTCTTACAATTCCGGAAATGTTTCTCATCTGACAAGTTAATTCTTGATATCTTTAAATAGAACGGTCATGATGCTCGGCACTTCCTGGTGGTTGATAAACAATTCTGTCAGGATGACCAATATATGGAAATGGGATAATTTCATCTGAAAAAAATATGCACACACTTACAAACGCTATTTCTGTCTATACACATATACTGTATGTGGTATAATATAAGATGAACTTTGTTTCTTAGTTTTCAGACAATCTCATCCAATAAAACTATGAGAGAGGATCCAATTTGTGATCTAATATTTGACAATTCAGGTGACATTAGAATAAATTCTGAATATTTTTGCAGTAAATTTCATGTTGAATTTAAAATGTGTTTGCATATTATTATTATTATGGTTTACATACTATTATTATTATGGTTTGTTTATTGTTATTACTATTTAGTGAGAGAACATGATATTATTATGGTTTGCATATTATTATTATTATTATTTAGCAAGAGAACATCATGATAATATAGTTTGCATATTATTATTATTATGATGATTTTCATATGATTATGATGATTTGCATATGATTTAGAGAGAGATCATGATATTATTATTATGGTTTGCATATTATTATTATTATTATTTAGTGAGAGAACTTATTATAGTTTGCATCTCATTATTTATTTGAGAGAACATCATGAAAACAAAGTGACAGCGTGGTCCTTCATTCCTTCCTAAGGTATCATGTGTAATGCATGCTTGGGTGATCATATCAACTTTTGATTCATGATTTACTTGGCATAAGAATTCCAGCTGTAAGTTGCCATTACTTTCTGTGGTAGACTGGTTGCAAACAAGGCTATAGGACCCAATCTATTCTTCTATTTAACCCATAGCTGAGAGAGAAGAGATGGATCCCAATAAAACCCAAGGATATTTGCACATAAGTGAATGTGACTTGAGAGCACTTTGAATTTGGCTTCTCATTCTGACCTATTATCCTTTATACTCATCACAAATCCAAATGGTTGGTATTCCCAAGCAGTCACTCATCCAGGTACTGATCATGCCCGATGTTGCTTAACTTTGATGAACATATGAGAACCGGTATTTCAATGTTATATGGGTACAAATATGTAAAGCCTAATATAACCGTCGTGAGATACAGTTTGATAAGGGCATACTAGACACATGCATTGCAGCCAAATGTGTATGATAGGTTTTTTTGTTGCTTTTCTCAAAATGTGTCAGCCTATTTCATTACTTACCTACGAGTTTGTCTTCCTTATTTATTTCCCTTTATTATCTCCCTTATTTATTTCCCTTTATTATCTCAAAAACACAAGATACAACAGTTGGCGACAAGGATGAGATACAACAGTCAGCCACTAGACAACAAACAAGCTAATCAATTGTATTGAATGGGATATTTATTATCTGTCTATATTTCTGAGATGAGGTATTATGTAAACTATTTACATTATTCAGACTATTGTCCTCATCTTTGTCCCCATATTTATTACAATGTTTCGGCCGTTGTATGCTCCAGCTTCTTCAGGTGGTTGTAATGTCAAACTGAACCCTTTATTTCGCTCACTGGGGTAGACTGTTCTAGTTCCACATGCCATGTCTAATGGATGTCAGTTATCAGTTATCTCCTGTTAATTCCCCTTTCCAAGTTCTCCACCGCCTTAACCAGGATACATGGCACAGTAGATAAAGGCATTAATTAGATCCAATGACAGGACCCAAAGAGTGTGAGTTCAATACCTGGTTAAGAGAAAATGTGACACACAAATCCAAAGCTATACTGGAATAATAAAAGATGTCTTCCAGAAACTAATCATAGTATTAAGAAATAGTAAAATTTCATTAGAAACAAAATATGGAGGGAATGTCGGTGGTTTGTTACTATGTAAGTGGCATGTTGGGTCTTAACCGTGAATGTTAGTCCTGGCAAAACCAAGAAATGTAGTTCATCTGAGAACTTTCCATGGCAGTAGTGATAGAGCAGTGAGAGACATCCCACCTGTGAGAGAGAGGTTGGAGGGTGGAAAATAATTCTTCTCCAGCAAAGACTCTGAGACCCTTTAGAACTCTGTCAAGACTGGAAAGTGACATCTGAAAAGCTCCTGCACAAATGTAGCAATTACTCGACTTTTGGCCTGATCTGGCTCTTATGAAGTCGGAGAATAGCATGAGGAGTCAGATACTTCCTGAAACAGTACAGGAAGCCAATCATTTTACCTGCATTTTCAGTGATGGATCAGGTGGGTTATGGGAACTTGAAAGACACTCTTACATAAAATCAGAAAAAGACAGTTGTAATGTCAGGGATACATTATGAGAAAAGACAGCTTGGAAAATTTAATACTCACAGGTCATATTGAGGAAAAGAAGATCAAAGAGAAACAACAAGCCACTTAACAAGCTTGTGTGATTCAATGGCAGAGCAGGATAAAGTCAGATTTTGCTAAGAGCTACAAGAGAGAGGAAGTTGGGAAGAATCCTGTTCGCCGATGTCTTAAGTGGACACTGTTTATGAATGATGGCAGTTCGGCTAAAGCCTGATAAAAATTAGAATTATGAGGATACTCAAGCAAAAGAATTTTAGAATAGAATACACTTAATCTGGCAAAAATCTTGACTCTAATAAGAGTTTGGCATCACTGCTTTCGAAAATCAGTGCTGTCTTTTTATTTAAATGGCCAACGTTCACATCAAAGAAGAACGATAAATAGGAGACAACAAACCAGACTGAGAGTATCAGTTAGCAGATAAGAACATTAGCTTCATGTTTTTCTGTATATTTTTTATATATATATATATATATATATATATATATATATATAATATGGATAGACAGAAAGGGAATCATTATAGAAGCAAAGTGGAGGATGGACTTGTGATAAAGGAGTAGGTGAAAAAGATTGAAGTTAATGAGATGAAGATGCTGAATAGATAAAAGGAAAAGATATGTACATATAAAAAACCTGAAATCGGTAGTATTGGTCTGTTTCTGTCTCTTTGTACTTATGTCAGACGTAACCCACCACAAGTAAAAATAAATAAATAAAAATTCTTATATGTATTTTCCACCAAAGTTATTCTCTCAGAAAGGCTGACAACAAATATTTTTACCATTTTCTGCATAATTTTCAGAATTCAAGGAATATTTAATTTTGTTCAGTGCAAAGGCAAATATGGGTGGCCAGTGTTTGATTGCAGCAGTCTTCCATGTCAGGTAGTTTTGTTTGTATTTGAAGTTCTTGCTTTTAACTCAGTACAAAGGCATCATAAATTGATATTATTGGGATAATTCTCTTCTTTCAGTACAAATAAATCACAAATTTATACTACTGGGATAATTTTCTTATTTTAATAGAAATACATAAATGATACTGATGGGATAATTTGCTTACTTTGATAAAAATATATAACAAATCGATATTAATAGGATAATTCTCTTGCTTTAGAACAGATACATAAGAAATTGATACTAATGGGATAATTCTCTTCTTTCAGTACAAATACATAACTAATTGATACTATTGAGATAATTCTCTATGAAACTTGTACATAACCATTGATATTTCAACAAAATAATTCTCCAAAATATATCACTTTCTGTGGCTGTATCAGCATGTTAGATCTGAATAAATGTCTTTTTATTTCTGTAAGTGAAAAAAAAAGCTATAATTGAGCAAAATTTAAATCCTGAATTCAACTGTTCACCATGTTTTTCATGCTTTCAAAAAACACATAAAATTTTACTGTATTGGTTACAGATTTTGATCAGCAAGGAATTACTTGGAGAATATTTTTTGTGACAAAATTCTATTCAAATTTGGTGAAAGCTTAAATTATTTTGACATGACTTTGGATTAAGCAACATTCTATCAATTCTACTCAGTTAATTTAAAATACCTTAATAAACAAAATTAAATCTGCTTCATATTGAACAATAAAATATTTATCAAAAATCAAACTAGATATTCAAAGGGGTGCAGATTTTATAACCAATTTTACAAATGTCCAATCACCACTAGTGATCTGATGTCAAGTCGGTAGCCTAGCTCCTGCCAAATATGCTGCAGCTTGTCTTGAACAAAATTCTCCCATGCCTCAGAGATTCTCTGTTCAAGTTATCCTATGCTTGTAGGAAGAGGCAGGCATATAGACCATTCTTTTCACATTGCCCCAAAGAAAAAAATCCCAAAATGTCAAGTCAGATGAACATGGTGGCCATTTCAACAGAATATTGTCATTATTACTGGCATGACAGTTTCATCTTCCTGGTAGGTTCTTATTGAGATAAGTCCACACATTCAACTTAGTTTTTGCACATTTTATTTTTTTTTAAATTTAAGATCATTTGAGTGAGAATTGGCTAACAAATATAAGAAAATGAAGACATGGAATTTTTATATAACTTCCTAAGTTCCTGCATGCAAGTGGATGACATCAAAGCAAACAGAAAAGTCTTTGATATAACATTCCATATAAAGATTTTTTTCTCTTCATTTTTAAGGGTTATCCGCTATCACTAGTTCCAACTATGTATTATCTCCCCTTCTCCATACACAACTTCTAAGTTAAAGCAGTTTTTTGCTTGATGATCAGTATTTGAATGTTTTTGTAAAAAATATAAAAGATATTTTGAGAAAATATTTGTACTAATAATTCACTGTTCAGTCTCAGGTTTGGTCAACAACCATTTATACAAGCAAAATATACACTTACACATTCAAAAATAAATATTTAAATAAAATCATGTATGAAAAAAATGGCAGATATTACTTTTGCTTATTTCAGTTTTTATAACATGATCAGAAACTCTATTTGTAGAAAATATTAATCTGTATCACGTCAGAAGCTTATAAAGTTTCGTATTATAATCTATTTGCACCCATGGTAAATAAGCAACCAGTACAAACTATCACTGAAGATACCTGTGTTGGGATACAAAATATCTGCTCTTAGATCTAATGTGTGATGTGACAAGCCTGAGTTATTGACTGGCAGGTAACTAGATGGATATCCTTTTTCTATATTTTTTAAAAATATTTTCATCATTTCACCTCGAACAAGGCAATAAAGCCCCTAAGGTGCAAAAGGGTTACTGAATGTAAGAATGAGAAAAAAAAATATTAAAGAGTTAGAAGAAGAAAAGAATTAAGACAGAAGATAAAAACTGACATTGCATTTAAATTTTTGAAGCTCAAAGTTGACTGGGAAAGCAAGAGGTCAAAAGAGAATACCACAAGTGAGAAGTGTGAGAGAAGAAACAGTTGGCATAGAACTTATGGCTACATCTAGCCATTTTAACTGTAAAATGATGAGATCTTGCTGCTAATCTATTACTGTGCTTAAATTTATAAAGTCTAGGTGCCATAAAGAACAGTTACCATGAAAATATTCATAGAGAAAGCAAAGAGAACATATGTTATGGCAGTGGGAATGACTGAAGTCAAGATGACAGGACCAATAATATGGCTAGAATTTCTAAATACATATCAGAACAGACTAGATATGGCAGGGATATTCAATACATGGATGAATGGTAGACCTATAAATGTGTAAGACAGATTCTTGTAAGAAAGATTAACTGGCAGTTACCACTTTTCTAGTAGCAGACCTGGTAAGCCATTTAATATAATCTTTCTACGTCATTGCTCACAGTTCAAGTGATACCAATTCCACATGACTATATCTGGTGTAACAGAGCATCATTAGAATTTCTCCTTACTCATTATTCCCAAGACTTGACAACATGGTTGACTTGGTTCTTAATACCATAATAAATAAATGTTTTATTTTACACTGATCATTTGTCATCTTGTCTGTTAATTACCATTCCATTTTAGTGCTCATTTAGCCAATTGTCAAGTGGAATATTTCTTTCCTCTCTTCAGTTTTACACCCCTGTCACTCCCTTGACAATGATCAGACACCTTATATTAGATCTAAATCTATATGCTTATATTCAGATTGAGGTTTCAAAATATGTAAGTATACATAAGTACATGTAAGGCTTAAATTATTTGATGTTAATTTTCAGCAATGGGTGAGCTTCTGTGAAATTAGAGGATTGATGGGAAGCCATCTTGTTTTAAGA